GTTCAAACCTCACTTATGATCGAATGCTTATCTTACTGAACCACAAAAGACTATAATCTTTAAACATATGACAGTTTACGACTAATAACAACTTTCATAAATTCAGTTATCTATTTTACTATTCACTTATTTATCTAGAAATTATATGCCCCATAATTGGTGGGAAATATTAAAAACATAAACAATGAAAATTATTGCCACTTAGTTTACTATAGTTCTCAAAGGCTTAACACATTCACCAAAAATTAGTATTTGGAGCTGGACACATTAAAGAAAAACTAGAGCTTTCACACATTTTCCCTCTAGCAAAGGTTTGAAATAAGCTTAATGGTAGTGGACTTCATTTTTTTGGTATTAAAAACTCTGAGAAAATTAAATGGTGAGATATTTACAAGAATATTAATCTGAGATCTAACTTTATAGGGAGAGAATGAGCATCTTTAAGAGGGACTATCTGGTAGCGTAGTGGCTACGAATCGGGCTGCGAACCTTAAGGTCAGCGGTTCGAAACTACCAGCCGCTCCGCGGGAGAAAGATGAGGCTTTCTACTCCCGTAAAGATTTACACCCTCGGAAACCCTATACAGGGTCGCTATGGGTCGGAACCGACTCGATGGCACTTAACAACAACAACAACAACATTATTCATATTAATAAACATTCATTTTTTTTGCATTCCATAAACTGGGCACAAGCATAAAAATGACCCCAAAGAAATTTTAACTAATGAAAAGACAGACCAACTACAAACTGAAAGCAAATTAACTCATGCTCACACATATTACAGACAGTCTTTCAACGTTGTAGTCTGGCTAATATTTTATTTTAGCAGAGTATCATAACTTCTTTATGTATAGAACAATGAAGCTCTCAAGATACTTACCAAAAATTCTAAACAAATTTCACTGAAATTAGAAAAGTGACAAAAAGTACTGTTGTTAAGTGCTGTGGGTCTAAATAAATCTTATACGTCACATTAGAAACCAGTGTACACTACTGTCAATAGCAGGAACTATATAAATTACATATTCTTCTCATGTTTTTGTTACCAGATTTGGCACATTAAAAATAAGCATCATTCTCTTCCAGAGTATGTACTCAAACTACTGTTTTTTTCACATAGCTTAGAACTTGCTCAATCTTTACCAAGTCACACAAAAATCTGCATTTGGTACTTGCTATCTTGTACAGTAAAACTGAGTATTCACTGTTTTCAAATCCCTAGGTTTTGCTCTAAAAGGCTTCAAAGGGAAGCAACTTTTTTTTTCCTTTTGGTTGCTACTAATTACTTTAGCTTATAGTTCACTGTTCAACACTAGTATCCTGCTATATTCTCATTTGAGTTATTCTATTTATCCCAAAGGTGGTGGTTGTTGTTGGTAAGTGCTGTGGAGTTGGTTCTGACTAATAGGAACCCTGTATAGGGTTTCCAAGGAGCGGCTGGTGAGTTTCTCCTTTTATCACAAAGGTAGACTTTATGTATTACCATTACAAAAAAATAAGTATTTGCATAATACTTTATGATTTTACATCTATTACAAACACATTGCAGGGAGCCGGATGATGCATTCAGTAGCTTGTCATTCACCACTTTAAGACCCTTCAGAATCAAACAAGGGGGAGGGCCACACTTTGCTAATGACAGAAGTATAGAAATGAATATAATAAACTTTAAAGTTTTAAAAACACAAAAGAAAATGGTCCATGAGCATAAATAAAAGTTTCAATTTGTAAAACTCCATGTCCCATATATAGAGAGTAAGGTATCTGGAGATTTATGCATCTTCTATTGTGATAGCCACTTAAGCTATGTAAGACCATGTTACAAAAATGAAGGAAATTACAATCTTGTTCTCAGTTTTATAAATTAGTAACATGCTAATATGAAAATATTGTTCCTGTTTACTGAATTCAGTTTTTAGTATACATAATCACAAATAAAAATAAAAATAACCAAGTTGCCATTCCATCCTTTTGAAATAATCTGACTATTAATTTTCTATTGTGCTAGCCTAAGCCTTATAAATATGCATATTTTAAATGTTTGTTATTATTAAGTGCTGTTCTCACTCATATTGGCCTTACATATGGTTCCCAAGGCTTTAGATCTTCATTGGAGCAGAAAGCTTCATCTTTCTCCCACAGAGCGGTTGGCAGGCTTGAACTGCAGACCCTGTGGTTCACAGACCAGTGGTAATCATATGGAGCCACCACACTCCCTTTAAAAATAGGTTTGGGAAGGCAATAATAATGACCTAGTGTGTTTACAAATTACGTTGTTTCATAATTTCTTGGAAAAACAATTACAAAGAAAATGGTTTAAAGCATTTATATTTTGCTCCATATCCACCACTCCAAATAAAATGCATAAAATACTGAATAGTTGTCACCTCTAGTTCAAATGCCCTTTAACACTTGAAGCTTTTTGCAAACAATATGCCTCTATGTTATATACATAGGTCATGAGCCACCATCTACCTCACATTAAAAAAACTGTAACTTCAAAATCATTGTAGTATGGCACCACAATCTTACACACATACACACGCATGCACACACACATTCTGAAGTGTGCAGAAAAAGAAGAAGGTGGAGGGTAGAGGAGAAATGGAGCACGTTGTTGTTTTTCATTCATGCAGTAGAGTGATGTCAGTGTCTGCAGCAGCAGCCACAGTGGCAGAAGCCTTGACCTGTGGAAGCTAAAATCCAATGAAGCCAGAACCTTGCAGAATTCTAAAGAAACTGAGTAATGTTTTAAAAGACATTAAATCAAGTACTTATAATCTGAATTTGAAATGGATAAGGAGACAGATTAATTGTAGAGTTTTATTTTGGGTTGAGGAAAGCAAGATGGGATGGGAAACAGGAGGAAGGGATAACGTAACCAGGGAACTGGGGGAACAAGAGCCTCCATTCAAAATCACCTCAGTGTAAGAAACTGACAAAACCACCTGGTGTTACAAAAGCAGAAAGACATCTCAAGTAGAGAAAGCTCTTCCATTCCCAACACAAGCTCCCTGATGATGCAAATATGCCTGCTGCACAAACATACTCAGAAAAGAGTTTTCATCATGATTGCATTAAAATTGCATTAAAGTCGGATGTGCCATACTGAAACAAAGAAGCTAGCTTAAGCCTGATCACGAATTTCATTAAAACTACTTGATGATAGAGCATGCAATTCCTAAGCAATTACGGCTTTTTGAAGGATGCAGAAAAACAAGTTGTACTATAATGGGTTGATGTTTGTCAACAAAAGGGGACGTGGCACTTACTGAGATGACCATTACAGTGCAGGGTCTGTGAAAGTACTCTTATGCTGTCCACAAAACCCTGTGCACAAATCATCAATGTTTATTTTATCACTCTTATATTAGTCCCTAAAATAAAACCCAAAACGAAATTTATGCACTGCTGAAGCGAAGTCACTCAGAAATTTATGTAACTGCTGCCTTCTTTTCGTTTGTTAGCTTTCATTTAACACAGCTCTACAAAATGTGCAAAGGAGATGCATATGGCATTAATCTGTTAGAAAATGGTGGTCTTTTCTATAAAATACAGCCAAAGATGTGTGTTCAGTTGTGGTCATTATTAGGGCAATCACGTTGTTTTCATTCATTCATTCAGGATTTGCTGGAGGATGTCAGTTTCTGCAGCAGCTGGCTTGACCTGGAGGAGGAGTGGGGGAGCAAATTCCTCCCAGTGCATACAGATTACAGGATGTATTTCTCTCGGTGTTCATGCACACATCCCACTGCACTACATGCTACCCAAATTCACCATCAAGTGGTCTGAAAACAAATGCCTTAGCCACATGCTCATTACAGGCTTGAAATATTAAACATCAAAGCTGCAATCTGTCATAACACCATCGCTTTCTCCAAGTCTAAAGACCCTCAACAAGAGAACGCTATTAAAAAAAAAAAAAAATCCACATACCACATAAACACTGCACAGAGCTCCCGTGTTTCTCTTCCAACCAGAGATTTTTCCACTCAGCATGATCTGCTGCCTCCACAATGCAGCAGCAACAGCATCTGTAGCTGTAGGCTGGTATCTAATAGTATTAACTACTCCACTCTCCCTCATGAGCTTTACGTCTCTGTTTCGGCTAATCTGCCTTTTCTCCCCCAGGACTCAACTAGATCATTCACTGTGTCCCTAGACATACATCAAACCAAAACAGAAAACATTACAGGAAGCTCACAGCATCCACCAACTCACTGTTACCTTTGACACCTAATCAAAAAAGAAATTTTAGATTCTTGGACATTTCAAGTTAACAGCTCAGGTATAAGACTTGAACGTGGAAAGGAAAAGTGAACACACTGAACAGTCACCAAAAAAAAATCTCTAATAATTTACCATAAAATTTGGGCACAAACCATTGCCAGTGCAGTACTGCCTAGATGCCTACGACTATATAGAAAACATTGGGTGACTTAAAAAAAAAAAAAAGCAAACCCTTTTTTATGCACTCAACTGCACCTTCAAAACTGTCCCCTCTACACATCCTGCTATCACGACATCATACCTAACACCACTACCCTCGCAAAAAGAAAAGGAAACGTTATCCCGGTCGTTCCAGGCACGTTAGCAACTTTGCAGGAAGCACAAAGAGGCTGCAGAGATTACCACCACCGCCTCATAGGCTGCCGGAGAGTTTGTGTGCATGTTTGAGTGTTTCGCCCAGCTCCTTCTGCCTCTGCTGCAAACGGCAAACACGCGACTGAGCTAATCTATTAAACTGAAAAAAGCTTTCGAGGCAGGCGAATGATGGGAGACAAAATCGGAGGGTCAACTAAAAGTTGCAGTTTTCAGTTTGCTCGGCCAAGCCCTGCAGCGACCGTAGGGGGGTGGGGTGGGGGGTGAGAATCCCAAAGCCACTTTCACACCTTCGATAATGCACTAGCAAAGAGAAGCCCGGAGAGGCTGAAGTTTCCACGGAGGGCACCGTCGGGGAGACGCAGCCCGAGAGAACGCGAGGGTTGGGCTCGCTACCTCTGTACACGGGCGAGCCGGGGCTCCGTCTCTCAGGTGAGCTGCTCCTCCGGCGGCTCTCGGGGGACCGTCTCGGGCGGCCCTTGGCTCGCGATGCCTGCTCGGTCG